ATTAATTATTTAATTAAATTAATAAAAATATTGAAAATCAGGCCTTTTACGTTTTTAAATAAAATCCTGCTCTACAGTTTTTTACAATCGGTATTTTCACAGTAAACCGCTTCAATCAGTCGTATTACTTGGACTTTGAAGTACAATGTTTTTATTTTGTTCACTAGTGCGCGAGTGCGCCCAATCAGTGTTAAAAAATATTTTTCATACAATAAAATCAAGTAAATTAGGTAGAAATTAATAAATGAACATACAATTGAAAGGGGAGTACGCCAGTACGGGCGCCTGCAGGCRAACGCATTTTAAAAAACAAAAAATATAAAAATAACTATTGTATTAAGAACGTGTACACGCCACACGCGGCCGATAGGTCACTGTAACGGCCGTTGCACTAACTCCTTTAATTATACACATTTTTAATAAAGGTGTGTGGATCACTGAATTCAAGTAATAGATTATTCATCTTCGATGACAGTAGTTTTAAGCATGATATCTAGATGTGTGATTGCAATATATCATGATGAAAGTGATAAAACTAACAAATAATAAAATAAATATAAATAAAAACTAAAGTGGTTTTAAAAATGCCATATCAATTCGAAATAAAAAACTTGTAGTACATACGTTATTCTGAACTTATTATACTCAACTATAATCGGTATCTCAAAAAGTCCAATATGTAATTAGTTAGAACACCCGAACACTCATGACAACTTACTGTTATGAACTATCTACTCAATGAGTATTTAGTTGGTAGTTCTCATGAATATAATGTTGTATTTCTGCAAAATTTTGCACTTTGATCGAATGATATTTCAATCGCGCCTAATCTTGTTGTTTTCTTATAGCAGGTTTTATAACCACAGTATTTACTATTTATTATGAGTAGATGACCTTCTAAATTGTAATTTCATTAAATACCCATAGGTATTATATATAATCATATTGGAATGAGATAATATTATGTTTATGTTACATAACACTATAACAGACTGATCACTAGYGATCACTATTCACTGTACCACCTACTTATATCAAACAAATTACTAAATTAGTGAAATCTAACAATTTTACATCAAAGTTTGTGTGGTAATAATATTTCATTTAATAATGAGTACAACATTATAACAAGGTATTTAGTATTTATTATTTTTTCTAACTATTATATTTTTATGTAAGCATTATTTAATAAATATACTGAATTATTGTTAAGTACTACCTACCTTTAGTATATTAATTATTATATTATATGATAGCAAGAAGTTTAGTAAAAATAATAGACATTTTATAGAACATTACTTTTATTTTATCCTTTTTATAGGTATTATTCAAACTGTTGTCTAAACTTCAAGTTTTTGAGAAGTTTTAAGTATGAACATGATAGTTTTGATCATTTGTATCTCAATATCAGTGAATAGTGGTTTATCATSTGATATACTAGCCTTTTTACCCAGCAAAGCACGTAGCCATTATGGCGCRTTTGAACCTTTACTCAAAGAGTTAGCGGAAAGAGGCCACAATGTGACTGTYTTATCACCATTCTCAATGAAAAATCCACCGTCATCTTACCATCATATTCCCGTTGAAGATGAAGATCTTGTAATGGGTAAGTAATAAATAGAGATAAATGTATTACTATGATATCTAACCATAATTTAAATAATAATATCCTTAAAACTGTGATCTAACCTATAGTTATGCTGACAATAATAATTACAATTTGTTTAATAGGTTTTAATCCATTCAGTGTAGCTAAACATTTCAAACCAATTTTAGTTCCGTTTAGATCTTGGTTAATGTGGCCAACATTTACAGAAACAATATTAAACAAACCATCTGTTCAGAAATTGATTCATTCAGAAGGACTTCATTTTGATTTAGTTTTATTTGAAAACTTTTATCATGAGTGTTTTGTAACTCTTGGACATAAATTCAATGCATCTGTTGTACAATTATTCCCATCGATTCCGAATGCTGGTGTTGCACAATGGCATCGTAATCCGTATGATGGATCATATATTCCAGATATCAACTCTGGATTCTGTGACGATATGTCCTTCATAGAACGTTTGACAAATACTATATTGTCATTTATACATACAGCTTTGAGTTCATTTTTCTATTTTCCAAAGCAGAGGGATTTAATGGATAAATATTTCAACTATACTGGTTGGGAAACACGGCCGTCAATGGAAAACATGCTAAAAAATATTTCACTGACGTTGATGAACACACACTTTTCTGTTGGAACACCAAGGCCACTTGTTCCTTCATACATAGATGTAGCCGGAATGCACCTCAAACCTGCATCTACACTCCCAGAAGTAAATTGATTAATTTTATTCACATATTATTAGAAGGTATATATTAGCCATGTCTATATCACATTTGTGTCATTGGTTATAATTATTCATTAGGATCTCCTGGATATTATGAATAATGCTCCTGAAGGAGTCGTATATTTCAGTTTTGGTTCTATACTCAATCTAACACAACTACCCAAAAATGAATTTGACATTTTTATTARACAACTGGGTAAGATCAAGCAAAAAGTATTATTTAAATGGGAATCAGATACTAAAATAGATTTTCCGCCAAATATAATCGTTAGAAAATGGTTTCCACAAGCTGATATTCTAGGCCATTTTAATTGTGTTCTATTTATTACTCACGGAGGCATACATAGTACTGAAGAAGCTATATACTTTGGAGTACCAATGTTGGCTATATCAGTGTTTGGGGATCAGTTAYATAACTCGTTAGTAATGCATAACARAGGTGCAGCAATACGTATTAAATACAGTGAATTTACTGAAAATGTATTTGAAATAGCTTTACACAAAATGTTGAATGATAAATCGTAAGTATTTAAGATCTAAACTCTAATAATATTTTAATACCTACAAAAATTAATCAATATTTTTAGGTTTAAAAAAAAAGCAACAGAACTATCACTGACTTTTCGTGATCAACCATTAAAATCAATAAATAAAGCGGTTTACTGGATTGAATATGTAATACGCCACAATGGAGCTCATCACTTAAAAACAGCTGCTGGCGAATTGACTTGGTATGAATTTCTACTAATTGATGGTTTGTTTTTGGTAGTCATCATGAGAATAGTTATAACAGTAATAGTGTGGTATGTAGGGAAAAAAATGTGGAGAAGATTTTGTTCAAAATCAAAACAAAACTAAGAAAAAGTATATTGTTTGTATGTTTTGTAGTATAAATAAATATGTATAATTTTTATTATTAATTAGGAAACTTAATTAAGTAAAAATTCATAAATCATTTTTTTTGTATGATTCTAGAAGTTATTTTTTAATTGAAATATGCATCTATATATTTATTGTTTAATTATATTTTATTATTATAAAATAAGTTTTAATTGAAACAGATTATACACTTTTATTTTTCGATCTGTGATGTTGCAAGGAGCAAAAATTATTTTATATAAATTTATATTTTTTCTAAATCTAATCCTGAAAATGAACTTTATTTTTTGATAGAAAATTATTATTTTTAGGATTCTTTCTGATTGAATTAATGGATTCAATTTAAAAACTTGATATAATGACTGTTATCTTGAAGTGGACATCTTGAAGCTAGCTTATGTGTTTTAAAATGCCAGTACATGACCTGTTTAACTTATGARTTATATCCTTGCTACTAGGTATCTACTCTAATGCACCTATATAATATGATTCCACTGTTGTCTGTTATTGAAATAGACAAAAACAAATGAGCAACACCTTAGAATTTAGGTAACAAGAAAACATCATATTATTATAATACTAAAAATGCCCACATCAAATGRGTAAAAATAAATAATATTTAAAATATTGATTTAAATTTCAAATATTTTTACAACTTACATAAATGCTTCAATTTTTAATGTAAGCTCAATAGCTACATGTAATTTAATGTTTTAATCTGTGACCAGTGACTACTATACAATTGGCAAGACAATATAGMTAGTGCCAAATTCTAAGTTGCCTGAGGTATGAGCAAAAATAGTCATACCATAATTTTCACCTGAAATGATGGACAGGACTATTTGGAATAGGTAATCCTTGCAACTTAATACTAACAAAATTTAAGTTATTTAGTGATGAGATCAAAATATTGATTTATATGGTTCATTCTTACTTGAGCAAGGACTGATGCACTATAAAATCATCAAATATGCAAATATGCATTATTCATRCTTAATCTATGTTAGTACTGTATTAGAAATGTGATAACTATGATTGTTTCAAAGATAATTGTTGATTGATTCATGATTTCTTTGAGTCACTAATGTGAATTAAAAATAAGGGTGATTTAACTAAACAATCAGAAAATTTAGTAACYGTATGAAACAAAATGAATAACTTGAAATTTTCGCAAAATGTCTAAACTAGATTTTTCTATACATTGCATAATTTTCAATATATTTTCTATTTTTGAGTTATTTATAGATATTCAAAATGTTTTCACATACATTATAGGACTTACTCATTATCAAGTGATAMTTGACACCTACTTTATAGCAGAGCAGTACCATCCATATTATTTTTTATGTCAGTATATGTACTAAATCAGCGTTTCCCTACCATTTTCTCTCACGGTACACTAGCCCTAAACCATATTTAGCAGTAGCATACTTGACACTGACTTTTATAAAATGTCAGAGAAATTTTTTTTTTTTTAATATTAGAATTAGGTTTTCATCATATTAATTAAAAAAGTTGCATTTCAGTAAATTACTAACAAATAATTCAAAATGGTGTGTTTATTTAGGTAAAGAAAACTCTTGTAGAATAATATTTTAATTAACTAAAAATATAAAATTTATTGATATGGAAAAACAGACATTACATTACGATTATTTTAGCTAATAAAATTTAGTTCAAGTAAGAAATTTGGGACTGGTTTGTCTTCATTATAAGTTTCTCCTTAAAGTGATATAGTTGAATAGTTTACAAGCACACCCTTATTATCAGAGTAAGATAATTGTTAAAATATTTTAACTTATTATTGAAATTGTAAGTAAGCCTATTATTAATCATGATATTTTGAGGCACAACTATTGAGGTTTCACAGCACAGCAATATGCCGTGGGATACTGATTAGGAAACACTGTACTAAATAGTTGTATTTTTCATAATATAATAATTTTATATATTTATAATGGTTTCAAGATTAAATGATATAAACAATTTTTAATCATTAATTAGTTTCCTTTATTATATTTATTTTACATTAGAAATTAATAACAGTTCTTAAACATGCATAAGACCACATTATATTGGCTGGAATTTGTAACAAAATCAATGTGAATTTTTCATACAAATTTCATTATCAATAACTGAATATATTTTATACATTTATTTTGGTTTGTAAATAAAATAATGTAAACAATTATTTTTAATCATTAAATAGGTTTCTGTATTATTATTTTATATTATAAATTAATAACAATTTTTAAACATGCATAATATCACATTACTTTGGCTATGATTTGTAGCAAAATCAATGTTAATTTTCCATACAAATTTCATTATCAATAACCGGATCTTTGTCCATTTCTACCTGTTTAAAAAATAATAATAGTAACATCATTTAATTAGTATTTAGTATTCCCAAATTTGTGTTTTAAAACATTATAAATACTGATTAAAAGTAACTTGTTGTATGTCATTAAAACAGTACCATTGAGTTGTTGTAAGATTGAGAAATTATATGGAAAAACTGTTTTGGAATATGAAAGAACCAAGAAGACTACAGTAACAAAAAGATACATGATTTTCAAAAAAACAGACCCCGCTACAAAAACAATGGATTTTACAACAGTAATTGTGTGTAATGGTGATATTGAAAAAAACTTTTTCWCTAGATCAAAAAATATAGTTTATAACAACTAGGACTATGATCAGTTTTTAAGAAAATGTTGCAAACAAATGTGTTTCCTAATATATGGCAATATACTAGATCCTTACTACAGTTTATTATGTTATTATTMAACAATTTTTTTGATAATGTAGGCTATGCTTAAGCAGAGAGCAGTTTTTTTCAAATTTTAATTTTAAAACAAGTTACATGAATTTGAAAAAATTTAATTGATTTAAATTCTTAAAATCTYGTTTTAAAATTAAAATACAAAATGAAACTTTTTGCTTAAGAAGTTTTATATTATTCACTATAAATTCAATAATAAGTATATTCTTTTCAATAATAACTATAGATAATAAATTATATTAACTTAAGTAAAAATTTGATAGGTGTATATGCCAAATTACACATGTGTAAAAAAGAGATGACACATGTATGTACAAGAGGAAGTTACACCCGTATGTGTTGTCTCCGTCTTACAAGTGCGTAACATTACAAAAACTGTTTTGCGCGGGAAACAACCGAAAAAGATACAGTTATAACTAAGAAACAAAATTTTCACTACATAAAAAGGAGAATTTWGTCTGTGCAATATTGTTTTTATTTTTTCGATATCACTTATACAAAAAAAATTCTTATTGTTTTATAATATATTAATTTTGTGTTTTTTAAGCATGAATAACTTTTTTTGTAGTTCTGATATCGAAAAAATAAAAACGATATTGCACAGACAAAATTCTCTTTTTTATGTGGTAAACATTTCGTTTCTTAGTTATAACTGTAGCTTTCTCGGTTCTTTCTCGTGCGAAACAGTTTTTGCAATGTTACGTACTTGTAAGACAGAGACAACACATGCGGGTGAGACGTCCTCTTAAGAGGATGTCACACYCGTATTTTATGTCTCAGTCTTACAAAAGCGTAGCATAGCAAATTTACGTTCAGTAGTTCACGTTTTACTCTGTTAGCTTAAAAATTTGAATTAATAGACATATTATGAAACTTGATGGTAAGAATATATTTTTTTTTCTTATTGATAATAAGGCTTCAAAAATAAGGTCCTTAGCCTGCGGTAGGTTTACATTGTTGGTAAGAAAATTATGTGTTTTTTTGGAAGTATTTCTACGATTATTCAGTTTATAAGTGAGTTATGTGCATATCATAAATTGCAAAATAAAAATGCTCATCAAAAAAACTAACTTCAAACTGAAATAACATAAAAATATTTCCAACAAAACACAGATAATGTTCTTACCTGTTACCATCAAGTTTCATAATAAGTCTATTCACTCCAATTTTTAAGCTAATGGAATAAAATGTAAACGGCTAAGCGTAAATTTGCTATGTTACGCATTTGTAAGACGGAGACAACACATGTAGGTGTGGCGTCCTCTTAACAAACAATTTATGGACTTTTTAAATGATGTATTAATCAAGATATTTTATTAGACTTTATTTTCTAACCAATAAAAATCATTCTTAATACTAAAAAAATATAAATATATACAACTAACCTCAACCAAATTTTCTACTTCCATTTTATCACAATTAGGAGTACCATTTTTCTTCTTCTTAAATTTTCTATTTTTCTTTTTCAAACTTTGACTGTACTTAAATATGTCAACATAATTGGGTGGTCTATGTAATTGTAATAAATGATCATTGACAGGCTTTTGTAAGACATCAGGTATCATGAACGGTTTCAACCAAAGCATTAATGGGGTTTCACCTGGCGTGTACAAACTTTCTGGATAGTAAAAGTTAATACCATCTAATTCAATATTATCTGGAAAAAATTGACCTTTTTCCAAAATATGATGATATAGATCTCTAGTAACCATTCGCGGAGCCAGCTAAAACAAACATTTTAAAATCTTGTAATTATTSAGACTATATTTTATTATATTTAAATATTAAGTATTTTTACTTCAAAAGGGTAAAAATTTGTTGTTGATTTTTCGTTGATACCTGGTATTTCACTAAGTTTACTTTGTATAAAATAAAATCTGAATTCAGCCTAAATAAAAATAAAAGTATTTAACATTGTTATTTGGTATAAATACTAYCAAAAACTTTAACATACATCAAAATCTGTATAAGGTACACCCATCCACTCAATAATGTCCAAAATGTAATATTTTTTTAACTTGAAACTATATACACAATCTAAAACAGTACGTTTACGATGAGATGGACAATTATTTGATGCACGGCATCCATAAGGAAACAATGATGAATAATAATTGAGAGTAGTTCCAAATTTGTTAACCGTCTTTGTTTTGTTCTGAAATTAAAATAAACAATAATTACATATTTTTTTCGTAACTATATGTTTGGTAAATGTGTTAAGTAAATCTCACATCTTGAGCAATAACACAACATCGTTTTCCTTCTGGACATAACACTGCAATCCAACTATCAATGTCTTCAGGTACTTCAAGCATCCATTCTGAATACATCATAGATGTTGCAAGTTCATATGCTTCATTAATTGGTACCACAGTTTCATTTCTTCTTTCATCAATTTCCTGTGATGATTAATTTTATATTATGTTTTCAATTAAACACCAACATATTGATAGTTGCATGATAAAAGGGGATAAGAGACATATATAAAGGTTTTCAGGAAGGCGAAAAAACTATTTTTATATAATTTAATAATTTATGCTATTTGTGTTTGGACCCCAGAAATATCGCTTTAATCTGTTTTTTAGACTTAATATATTATAACAGTCACTTGTTTTCTAAATTTAAAAATTTGATAACTCATGAAATGGTTTCACTGATGTACCAATGATACATTATGGTACATTTAAATCTCCACTAACCAATAATAACAAAAATGTCGCTTAGACTCTAATGTTCTTTGTAATATTTGTTGTGCAACCATCGATATAATTAAATATATAACTTGATATATTATACATGAACTAAATTAAATAGTCCCATAATATTTATAATTTTGTTACAATACCAGTAATCATAAGGTTATACTTTAAAAGTATAATAATGAATATTAACTAGGTATATAGAAAAAAAATAATATAACMCACTTTACAGTTATTGATTTAAGAGAACATCACACATGCGTTTATTGTGCCTGTCTTACAAATATACGATATAGCAAATGTTTGTTCAATTGTATGCTGTTAGTTTTAGTATTACCATCTAACCTTTCATCAAATGTTTAGAAAAGAATGTTATATGTAATTAAATGTCGACCATTTTTTCTCAATATTTTAATTTTCAAGAAAAATATGGTATGTGAAATATCAAAAATTAAAATGATAATTTAACACAGTTCTTTATAGCAAGTATATATAATAATAATTAATGAAAAAGACTTTAATAGGTATTTTGTAATTATAGTGTTTATATCTAACTTACTTAATTAGTGTTGTAATTATAAATGTTAATACTAG